GTCCTGACCTGTGACGGTGGCGCCTTGTTGCAGGTACATCGAAGACGAAGCTGGAGCTATGGCGCCACAGGTAAGTCTCCCTGGCCTCCGCCAACCATCTCTCTCTCTCCAATGCTACTCTAGCTCCTAATAGCGCCCAGTGCTGAAGACTACTGCGAACGTTACTACTACTACTGCAGTGCTCCTCCAGAGTGCTGCTGCCGAATCCTGAAGACTGCCTCCTGCCTCCTGCACGTGAAGTGCCTGGGAAGTTCCTATGAACTACCTCGTGACTCCTGCAGCCTGCAGGGCGGGCCAGTCTTATATAGTGCTGGCCCGTCCAGGAGGCTGCTCTTGCCAATGCCAAAACGTGCCAGACCCTGGCGTTGAAGTTCAAACGAGGGTTGTCTTGAAAACAGGCCCAAAATGGCCTGTGCTAAAACCCTGGTCTGGTGCCTAAGTTTCAGGGCAGGTCGACTTTATGAGGGCCTGAAAATGGCCCTCCGTTTCAGGCTGAACAGACTCAGGGCCTGGAGGGCCCTGTTTTAGGCCGAACCGACACAGGGCCTGTAGGCCCTCGTTTTCAGGCTTTCAGGCTGAAACGACACAGGGCCTGTGGGCCGTCGTTTTCAGGCTTTTAGGCTGAAACGACACAGGGCCTGTAGGGCGTTGTTTTCAGGCTTTTAGGCTGAAAACGACACAGGGCCTGGAAGGCCCTGATTTTCTGTCTGGTCGAGCCTTGCAGGCCCGTGTGGCTGCACAGTATGCCACATGTATTGCTGACATTGATGAGTGGAGGCGAGAAGGGGACTTTCATCATCATGTGACTTCAGTGTTTTGCTCGTACTTATTTGGTGTGTTCTCGGTTGCATTCTCCTTTCAGTTCTGCTCGAAGTTATCTGGATGTCTATTGAACGCTGCAATTTGGTTTATTGTCATTCTTATATACTCATTTCCTTGCAAGAGTGTTGGCAACATAGTAAAGTAAAGAAAATAGTAAGGGACTCGGAAACTGGAACGCAGATGATGTCTTGTGTGCTGGTTGCCTTTCCGGTAAGAAAGAGGTATACTATCCATGTGTCTCGTTTCGTCTGGCGTAAAATCTTGACCGGTAATTACAAATATGGGTGAGAGGCTTGGGGATCACCGATGGTGGTGGCTTGCTGCCAAATGGGATGACCATCTCTGCACACCTGTTGTTGTCTGTTTGCTGTGATTGTATTGATGCTGTGTGTACAGCTTGCTGAGGCTCTTGACTTTGTAGCACTTGGTGAAGAAATACCTGCAGACTCGAAGTAAGGATGACTTTGCACGAAATTGGTTTTGCTCAGCTTGGTGAGAACCATGTGGCCCAACGTCCGGGGTTTGGAGCAAAGAGTGTCTGGTTGAGAAATGCTGTTTCGTATTTGAGAAGGTGGAGAGCTGATGGGTGACAAGCATGAGCAGGGAAATGAGAGTAAAAGCTAGTGACACGGGTCGTGGTTCATTTCTTTGATGGCCTTCAGCTGGAAAGCTGTTGATGAATTGATCTATGCTTTGAGGATTTAACTAGTAGCACCCCTCACCTCTATCAGCAAACCTGCTCATGGCTTGTGTAAACCAGCCTTGGAGGTGGATTTCAAGGCTGACAGTGAAACGAAGAGTAAGAAGAAAATAACCAAAAAAGGTGAGTGGCAAGCGCTCAGGGGGAGGTATACCCTGATTGACGATAGAAAGGTAAAAAACGTAGATCGTGTTGACAATGGTTGCGAGGCCCTTTTCAAATGAAGAGTGCAGATGGGAAAGGAAGAAAGACAGGACAAGAGAGAGGGGCCCAGGGAAAGAAGGAGAGAGGGAGGGAGGTGGGGAGGGAGGGAGGGAGGGAGGGAGGGAGGGAGGAGCGAGGGAGCACGGGAGGGAGGAGCGAGGGAGCAAGGGAGGGAGAAAGGGAGGGAGGCAAGGATAGAGGGAATGGGAAAGAAAGGAAGGTCATATTTTAGGAAGAGTGGGCAAGCAAGCAGGGAGGAAGGGAGGGAGAGAGGGAGGACAACTAGAGAGAGGACGAACAGAAGGACAAAGGAATGAAGCGCCCAAGGGAGGAAGGGAGAGAGGTAAGGAGGGAAGGAGGGAAGGAGGGAAGGCTGCAAAGGGGAGGGACGGGCAAGCTTCTAGCAAGTGAGGGAGTGGACGAGTAAGCAGCGAGGGAGGCAGTGAGGAACACAACGCAGAGAAGGAATGGATGGAAGGAGAGAGATTGGGTTGAAGAAAATGAGCATGGAAAAGGGAGGAGAAATTGTGGGATTGAGGAACAACGGGGCTAAAGGTGGGAGGAAGGGAGGGAAAACGGGAGGAAGGGTGGGAGGGAGAAAGGAAAGCCGCAAAGGTAGGTAGTAGGTTGGAAGGGACAGAGGATGCGAGGGAGGTGTTGGGTGCTCAGAGTTGGGACGCATTGCGATGTATGCAAGATGCTGTATAGCAGCGGAAGACGGAACACCGAATCTATCACCCAGTTGGAATGAAAGCTGGAAAAAACAAACGTGAATTGCATTAGTCTAGGATGCCATCCTACTTCTTGGCATGCACGCATTACACAGCGAATTTAAGAGTGAATTTTCACATCAAAGGGGTAGAGGTTCAGCATTCACAGAGCGAGAACAAGGAGGGAGAACAAAAGAGGAGGAGGTGGAGAACACTGATCACCTCTCAACTTGGCGCTATCTCCCAAACAAATTCATCTCTTAGACTGCCATACATAAACCAGTGTTCAATGCCGAAGCTGGCCAAGAAATACTCTCCACTTCGAACAGTGCTTATCCCTACCAGCCATAATTGCGGTGCATCACGTGCGCGCAAGCTGTGCACGTGCGCCGCAGCGCACATGCGCGCACGTGATGCGGCGCATTTAGAAAAAAAATAAAAAAATCAGAAACGGTAGGTCATCGTACCCATAAGTGTCCCTCCCTTTTAAAAAGGGTAAATACACAGAAACTTCAGAAAGAAAATATTTTGGGGCCTCATCGTACTGCTCATTGGTTTGATTCTCCTTTCCAAAAAGTACCCTGCAAGCAATTAGCAGGGTCTCCATAACCTTTGGAAGGATGTGCATTGGACTGCTGGAGTAGGCCAGCAATATATCCCGGATTCGGATTCAGGTCTGTGTTCCAAGAGTTATGGGTTACAAACTTACCACAAACACTCCAGTAGTTGTCTCGTTTTTTTTTTTCTTCCCTTTTCTTACGTGCAGTGGCCCTAAGGGCCTCGCTCCACTCATCAGCACTTGCAGAAAAGAGAAACGGATGGCTTGTATGGTTCCAGTTTCTAGGAGAAGATTCATTCTAGTTTTGCACATACAGTAGCTGTCTCGTTTTTTAGTTTTTCCTTTTCTTACTTGCGTGCAGTGGCCCTAAGGGCCAGGCTCCACTCATCAGCACTTGCAGAAAAGAAAAACGTATGGCAAAAAAAA